TTTAATTTAGTTTTATCCTTTAAAGGGTTAAACCACGCCGAAGAAATTCACATACATCTAGGTCAATCGTAATTAACGGAACATGTCATTCTGGAGAAACTGATGTCACTGGGCACGTAACGATATTCTCCGCGTTTTATGAATACCGAAGATTAATTTATCTTTCTTAAAACAATCCGCCACTGGAACCTATCATGAGCCAGCTGAATCTATTTCATACCCTCACACAATATTTCTGTAGAATCCATCCGAGTTTTTTCCTCCCATCTAGGCGGTCTTTTATCTTCTCATTTCCAGATACTTTTCTCACCTCTCCATTTTTGGTACATGCCCCTTATTTTACACCGATACTGGCAAAGTATTCTTTGAATCTTAGTCTGTCAATGTCTTACATACCGTTGGTCCTGGAAAAGTTCTAGTCTGCTGAGCTTCGAAGAGTTGATTATTTGTTACTGTATGATGTCTCACGCTTCACTGAACATGATAAAGTTGACGTATCTGTTCAAGTGATAAAAGAGCAAACAGACAACCGATAATAAGACAAAAGGAAATCAATACCCAGATATTGAGATAGATAATAGTTGCTTGATGAAGGTCGTGAAATGCAGGAGAGGGGGGCCAAGGTCCAGTCTTGCGCATTACGTAACCAGAAAAGTTTGATGTTTATTTCCCTTTGCATAAGTTGACGCCGAATGGTTGTTTTTAGATATACAGCGTGTTCGAAAAGTCATTGTGCGGTTACGGTTATGTAGTAATGTCATACCTGGCAACAACTTACGCAATCACAAGAGAGGGCCTTGTTCATGTTTAGCAATAAAATTGAGCGTGTTAATGTTTGCAAAGAAGCGAGAGGCGGACATTTCTAGCACTAGTTACAGAGACACACACTTCATGCGGCCTGAATGTACTACTGCTTACATTCACTTTTCGAACGTCCTGTACATTCTTTATGTATTTGCATACCTCACTGTCCTTGACCGTTTATTGGAGACATACGCTTGTCGCTCTATTCCCGACCACATTATAAACACAGTACAGCATAAAAATATTTTACTGAAGTTATGTATCTAATGACATGCCCTTTGCTTTCTTATGTACTGCGATTACGAGTAGGATTGCAATTCCATCTCCAAGTAAATCAGGTGTCACATTCTAACGATACAGACCAAAACTAATAATAATACCAAATATAATCGAAAGTATTTCAGTACTTTCGGAGATAAACATAGGATAAACAGATGGACGGTCAAGAACACCTTCATACCTATTCACGTAGAAACTTAGACTATGTAAAGCCAGTTACTAGGAATTTAATAATCCTTGACATCAATTTGCCATTTAGCCGATTAAAAATCAGTTATCATAAAAATATTTCAATCATAATGTATAAAATTCTATGACAAATTTACAGTAATTAAACTAATACTGAGGAGGATGAGACGCCTCGGGAGGTTAACACTCTCTCAGCTGACGAGAAATTCCTGACCTTTTAGGGAATCCGAAATTTTGTTAACGTGTTCACGAGAGACCGCCGTTAAATCGTATCCTGAGCCAGATAAATTTAATTATCACCTTCACGCAATTTTATAATTAATTTTAATATTATCCTCCGATCTACTCCTTGGTCTCTCTAGTGTTTTAATTTGTTCTGACTAAAATCATTAATAAATTTCTATATCTCCTGTTCGTGCTGTATCCCCGCCCTTCGATTTGAATACTAATAATAATTTGTGAAGGATATATATTCACTGACGGAAAAACCAGCGGACGCAAGTGTAAACGAAGTGAAAGTGGCGCTGTGTTGCACCAATGTCTGACATGAAGAATTCCAATGATTGTTTTTTTTTCCTGTAGTATACCGGAATTGGTGCAATTGGATATACGTCACACATCTGACGTTACTTCTCATTGTTCCTTGGCCTTCAGGATTGGAATTCAACCACGTGACGCCACTTGAACTGAATTGCGAAACCTAATTAATTGACAAATATACTACGCATGAAATGACCTGTTCCAAGCAGAATCCTGATTTGACATTCCAGTTTTGCATATTGCAACTCTTACCATCAAGTGGGCAGCTGTATTTTACTTCGGAAGTCAACAAATTGTAAAATTATTGATGAAACTAGATATATAAAAGTAGTACAACTTTTTCTGGCCCCCGGCTGTGATTTAAACCGACTATCACACGAATTCAAAGCAAGAGTGAAAACGTTTTACATCAAGTTCAAGTTGCGGGATATTTTTGCTCCTTCTGAGCAGAACAAAGCAAAGTACTGTAGTCGGGGCGAATCTGTGCGTTTTGCCTACGTCACTAGTTTTCGGGCAGAAAGAAAACAAACGCATGCACAAAATAAACCAGACATTAGCATCGTAGAAACTGAGACAGCGAGCTACAAAGTACTGCAGCTGGTGAAAATGTTCACTGTATGGATAGTTTATGGTTCCTTATCTGCTACCCCTCCCACCTCCTGGATCTCGAGCGCACACATTTGCCCCGACCACAGTAGATCGCCAGTTCTCGGCCACACGTGTTTGTGTTTGGTTTAAATTCCAGTTACACGTATCTTATTTCACTACGGAATGTTGTGGGCATTCAGAGTCTAAAATTAAATTATATGAGACTTGCTGTCATGTAACAAAACAAGTTCTGAAATATGTTAACAATTTTTATGATCAAGAATAGTCAGACATCGGAACAAAAGTACATAAAATAGGAGCCAACATTTAAGGGACTGCACATCCTTTTCCAGTGCAGTGCACCACGTGTTCATACCTCACTAGATCCTGTTATTCTTAATACGTTAATTGTGATATGATCGCTGTGGTGCATCACAGCTATTTTAATTACACAAATATGCGGCGACAAACATCGCAGTAAAATAACAAAGGTTACTAACAGTCAAAGGAAATCATTCCTGAGCATTTATTTTCAAGGGAGATTCGTTATAACAAATCTAAAATTATACATTACCATGATAATCTTTTACCACCTACTTCGACAATCAATTCTATGATCCATTTCGTCTTTTAGGTGGTTGGACGGGGAATGTAGAAAGAACACACTGCGCAGATTAGAAATGCATACAAAATATGTAATCGGAAAACCTCAGTATAATATTAAAATGGGCATTAAAATAAGTAGAATGGAGTGCGCGGATTGGATTTACCTGGCTCTGGAGACTGTTTATGTTTTAGGGGTCTTGTGAATACGGTAATAAACCCTCTGATTCTACAGCAAGTGGGGACAATTCTTGACAAGTAGGGATTATGAACTCCGAAGGACTCCGCTCTGCAAAGATAGTCAATAAGAGTCCATAGGCCGAAAAATCTTGTTTAGAAACCGCTCAAGTATTAATGTTATGGAGAAATGTGTGCTAATGGAAAGCAAGTCATAACGAGACAGCATCGAGATGTTTGCAGTTCTTTTACGGAACTGTGAACACGAGTCAGTGCTCTGTGGAGAGCTTTCCACTAATGAACTGGATCTGGAAGCCTACTACTGATCGTTTCTGACTGCGCCGCCGACCGGGTATCTTGCATCAAGACTAAATTATGAATGCATGCGACATTTTACATCTCAGTCCTTGAGTTTCAGTACCACTGGTTGCAGACGTTTAATTATGGTAATATACAGAATGTCCCAAAAAGATGGAAAACAGAAACAAAATGGTGGTCGCTCATCAGTCAGTCGTTCACCGCTGTCAACTGTGCCACGATAGCGGCTAGCTCTTGCGAACACGGGGTTCATGAAGAACTGAGTGAATATCATCATCTGAAAATGGCTGTGTCTTTCTTTATGTTAGCATCGTTTCCCGCTGTAACATACAGCAAGAACTTTCAAAGTTTATGAGAAATTAAATATATCTCGGTGCTTCGTAATTTTATTTGCATTCAATAAATCTTCCCGAGCTTGTGATGCGTAACAATAGTAGAAGGCCAGTGTAAAATAGATGTGTTTATATTTTAGACCGAGTAATTTCTAGATAATGATGTTAATAAATCTGTTGTTATTGTACAACCAATCGAACGATATATCGAAGCTATTTAAAAGGGAAACGTGCCGAGCAGTCTAACTTGATAGACTCAAGGGCACAATGACCCTAATCTGGCGCCGTGACTCGGTAGGTGGAACAACAGAAAGGCGTAAACTTTTTTCTGTAACTGTAAGGTCAGGGCAAACAATAGGCAACGATGTGTGGGTGGAAGTTGAAGCTGATAACTGTAAATGTCGAACGACATTCAAATATCGATAAACGAGAATGATAAACGACGTAAACAAATAAAGGGAAACTACTGAGGGGCCCAAAAAAATGTATACACAACATGACTTATAGTCATCCCTTGATGTCTGTATAAATTTAGTATTGAAGCTGTTATACAGGTTTTTGTTTTGTTGAAGTGTGTATACATTTTTTATTGTGTATCTGCGTAAGATATTCTACTGCGTCTGTAGACAGTTATTCGAGCAATGGATTTCAAACTAATCTGATTCAAGGGCCCGTAAAACCTCAATAAATTTTCGGAGGTTCAACGCTTTACCTGTCTCACATTGTACAAAGCACACGGCAGTCTACAAACCCAATTATACACTTTAACGTCTTTGTGCGATACTAAAATCCAATAAGCGTCATATCACCCACACTGAACACTCACAATTAATGTGCAGGCCGAAAAGGACTCACTCACGAAGTAATTTACCAAACATCCGTCTTAAAAGAATGAAAATCGGGTTTGTAACGCGGCTTCGCCTTCATATTTTTGAGAGATACAGCGACTAAACTCAGAACTCAGTGTCCTCTTCCTCAACGGGCGGCCGGTTGCATTAAACTGTGAAAGTCAGCATAAAGCGCTTAGTTATGTGGAAATATTAATTATGTATTAATTAATTGCGTTATTCTTCATCTTCTTCAAATACAATTACACTTTGTACTGTGTTAAGTTTTCATTTCATAAGTTAGTAGTGATGGTTATTCAAGGAACTAACTCTATTCCCTTACCTATTTCGTGAAGTATAAATCCTTTGAACAGTTATTTTCATGAGGTAGCAACCCGAAATCCGCGTTAGTATCCGGATGATGGGGAATCCCAGCGATTAACTTCGGGTAGAGCCATGAGTCTTAACTGGTTGTTAGTCCATATGACTCACGTGACATCTGTAAACAAAATTCAGAAGTAACACGTTACATTTCAGTACCAAGCCGGGAATAACATGGCACGACTGAACAGTTATTAATAAAACAGCGGACGCGGTATCTGGCTGCCACTGGGCATCCCTCTCGGGAAGCGATGACTTCAAAAATTCCATTCCAAAATAAAACCATGTGGCATCTGGCACGCAGGGAAGTCTCCCACACGACAGTCTGCTCCTCGTGGAGAAAATCACAACTAAATGTGTGATATTTAAGCAATGACCTGAAAATCGGACCATGAGTTAGCCGAAAATCCTGGGGAAGTTTCATGGTTTCAAACACAAATCAGATTCTTCTCCTACACTATAAGTAAAAGAACAAAAAAAAAAATCAGTTTGTTCCACGAATAATGTAAAGTTGTAAATATCCAGTAATAGCTACATGGTGATTAAAATATCTGCCATAACATTTTGTTTAAACTGAAAGTCGAATATAAAAATAGAACAAAGCAAGAACCGTAAACAGTATGTACTTTCTACTTGTCTTCAAGAGTCTAAGTTTGTGTTGTGGGGCTAGTTAATAATTATACAATTTTATTTCGTGAACTATTTCTGTGTATACTTTACCTTTGTTCAGTTACCACTTGCATTAAAATAATCAAATATAACCACATGTTTCTCACTGTCAATCACGTTAGCAAGAAGATGGCCGCCTTCTGGGTTGTAGCACCATGTATTCTGGTTCAGCACATTTATAATGGCGGCAATAAGGACCCCTGAAACGTCGGTAAACTTCTACCAGACTACACGGCGCAATAACCCAGAAGACAGCCATCTTCGTACTCCCCACCTCTAACCCTAGTTGCAGAAGTTGACATGTAAAATGTTAAAGAAAGTACCATCGCTTTTATGTAACAAGCACAGAATTAGTGTCACTACACTACACTGCTGTGTCTTATAAATTACATCGATAAACAGCTACATGTTTCGATCGTATGTATGATCATCAAGTGACTCTGTAGTGTGAAAGTGACGATGCTCTAATGAGAGGTTTATTAAAAATACAACGTGATGCTGCATTACAGAATTTAAATGTAAAATGTATTGGAATATTTATAAAAACTTTCTGTACAGAATTCCACATGCCTGACTCCAGTTATCTCTGTGGTGGAGAAAGAAAAATATAAATATTTCGTCGTCGCCATGTTCTTGTTTTATATTTTGCAAACGAAATTACCGGAACTAAACTTGCATATTTTTCGAAGATTTATTACTATATGACATTTCAGGACCTTGCATTAAATGATCCTAATGTCACTTCCAACTCAGAAGTTTTCATGAACGTCACGTTGGTATTACTGAATATAAGAAATTAAAAATCAGACGTGCGGGGAAGGGTGTCTGGCTGTCTCTTAGTCATGTGATGTTCATGATAGTTTCATGAAAATTCATTAGTTCATTAAAATGTTAGTGCGGTATTTGCACACGGACAAGATCCAACGATTATAAAATGAGGAAAGTGGGCTGACACAGGACTGTCTTACAAGAGTCAGGATACAATAGTCACATCCTGTTAGACCGAGTCTCTGAATTCAGGGGAGCTTGTGTTCACACATTTCACCTTGACTGTTGTTACTAGGAGGAGCTAATCGGAAGGTCTGTTTTGGCGTGTTAACACAGTCTTCATAATCAGTTCACATTTCACACAATGCTCTAAATAAAACAGCAGTAACTGCCACTGAAACAGACTGACTGGTACTTGGCTACTCCAAGAGGAATTTGACACCCGGTATCCTGCGTGGAAGAGGTTATGTCCTGCTTTTAATCTGTTTCATTACCAACTTCAGAACTTTACACAAAATTATCGGGCATGAGGTAGTGGTACAGCTGTTAAAACTTCTGCTTCGTATTAATATGGTCACATGTTGGAATTTGGGCTCCGAGCTCGGCTAACCAGAATTTTCTCGTGTTTATACACATACATTTTGGAAATATGTTTGATAAGGGCTTCAAAATTGGACAAATCCGCTTGCTCCCTGTTTCATCTTTTATAGTCATCCTACTATTTGACTATATAGCCGATTCAGATGAAAAAGTGCCGTTAATAATTCAGAATTTAATCATAGAACGATAAAATTTATTCACTTAGAATTTCAATGTAGACCGTTTAATCTCGCGCTGGACTGAAACGCGATTTTCCAGGTGACGGAATCACTGCCTGACACAGAATGTCATTTTAGGCTAGTCAGTTTTTTTCGTATTTATTTTATTTTTTCCCCTCTCACCATTCTTTGTTCCTTTCTTAATTCAATCTTTCTTTTATTTTAATTTATTTCGCGCTTTTTCTTAATTTATTTGTTCTTTCCCTCTTTCTTCCTTCTTTTCAGCATACTTGTCTATTTTTACCTTTCCAGCTTCGGTATTTTTCCTCATTTTTCTATCCATTCCATGTACTCTTTCTTCCTTGGTCCAACAGCGGAACTCAAGAGCTCAAACGAAGTGCCGTTTCTGTTGCATACATGCGCTCTTGATGCAAATGACTTCGATATCGTACTGAGAACTTCACACTGACTCCTTTTATGTTATCACAAGCGTCCTTTCGGCATGCTCTTCCTTAATTAGCTCGGGCTATTATCAGGGGTGCAGAGAAAGTTAATTGTGACAAGGTGAACACAAAACTGGTAAAGTAATTTCAGGAGCGTCCAATGTATTAAGACTACAACAGAGGTACGGATTACCTCCTACAAGAGGCACACTACCGACATTTGCCGTTGTTACAACCCTAGTGACTGAAACACGCATGTGTAATTTGTAAACAGTAGTGAGAGGAAGGACTAATTCAAATTACAAGGAAGAAGACTGTACAGTCAATTACGCAGCACAAGATCTTGAGCGAAATTACGAGCTACCTCCATTCTGCAACGTCCTTAGAAGCTAATAATCACTCAGCTGGTCAAGAAATTCGTGTCCTTTTATGGAGTCAGAAGTTACATAATTATTGTGTCCCCAAACCCCGACTAAAATGTCGTCTTCGCCAGAAAAGTATAAGGCGGAAAGATTAGAATGTAAGATAATCTGGAAGTGATAATACGCAGATAAAGTTCTGAAGGTGACCACAGTACAGGCCTATATATTAAATTATCTAAAACGAAATGCAATGGGCCACTCTAAAGCCTGAGAATTCCATAACAAGCCAACTTAAACAGAAATTACTACTGATTACAGAATTACGTATGACAAGAAATAAATTATCTGCTATTATCTGAATCACACTTTCGTGCAAAGAAAAGAATAGATAAATGTTTCAAAATTGGTTATATTATCGTCATTTTTACATACGATTTAAATACCGAATTAACAAAAGTACCGACATTGATTAGTTGTTGGTTTTATTACGTAAAAATTATACGCAATAACTGATTAGTCGATGTGCTTCGGGCAGAACGTTTGTCCTTGAATGTGATCTGTCAAACAGCACAAAAAGTAACATTCTCTTTCGTACTCCGCTCACAGGAGATTCCGAGCCATCGATATCCTTCTCAAGATATCGAGTTCATTACTGACTGCTTGCTCGGAGAAACAGCTTACACATCGGCAAGTGATCATATTCACTAAGTGGACATTTCTAACACGACCCACTTCGTTGTCTCATAATTACAGAAGTTTCCACTTCTGTAATTCCTTTGGTACGTCCATCAGCGACTTAACCAAAACATGGATTCATCTCTGAATGTCTTTGGCGATGGTATTAGATTATTACTGATACGCCTATCTTTATTTTGAACTTCGATCATCGTCTGCTGAGAGCCTTTTAAAATTCCGCGAGTGTGTGTTTAATAACGAAGAAAGATAAATAATTAGAAACGTGGTTTTTTAGACTTTAAAAAAACTCTTAAGACACTATGGAAAGTGTCCAGATTAAAAAATATTTTAAAACAAGTATTGCTAAATTTCTATCTGAGATAAGACACTGTCACAGCGGTGAAGATGCCGTTTGTGGTCCTATGCTTTGTGACTCTGTAGTCTTGCAGATAGGATATAATTTTGCCACTTATTTTGTTATGAGTTTGAAAAGCTGCCTGTTACCTTGATGAAATAAACCACATTACAAAGTGCCTGAAAACACTCATAAATTATGTAGGCCTATGTATGTACCAACTTCTTGACTTTACTGACGTCCTGTGTTCTTCCACGCCCTCTGCCATTGCATCCTCTGATATTTGGTCCTAGAAAGGCTGAACTACCTTGAAAACCTGAAATCTTACTAAATTCTTCTTGATCCAATATGGACTTACCGAGCGAGACTGTAATTCCTACTTTTCTTGTTCGAGACTTGTATTTCTGTCATTGACAATTCTTCACGATCAAACCACTCGACGTTACGTGCTACCTTCACAGCCTGTCAGAATAAGTTTTGGAAACATAATTTAGCATTACACAGAAATGTTGCCTTTATATACATGACATAATCCCGTTAGAAAATATCCCATTAACGTGACAGCAAGCAAGACAGCTGACTTGTCTGCCATGCCCTTCTTTCGAGTCTTTGTTTTACCGAAAACACTCGGAAACCCCATACCAAGTGGCTGCCATTTGTGGAGGATGCAACTGTCACAGTATGTGCTAAATGCGCGTCCTAGCATGTCCGCTCTGAACACCAACAGGAGACATCACATGTAGGCTGAGAACAGTAAGACTAATGGAGACATAGCTGTCAACATACTAACGGTCTAACCAGTAACTGATTAATCCATCAAAGGTTCTTTCATAAGAACATGTTTTCAAAAACAATAACTACGAGAGTTATTGTACAAAATAATAAGGTTATTTTTCATAAAACAAACTGTACTAACAAAATAAAATTACTTGATCCTTTCGTATCACCTCTTTGCACTTTAACCTAGTAATTTTCACATGGAAGTTGGTACACTGTAAGAAACAGCCGCAAAGTAATTTTTACATATCATTAAATTGAGAATCCAAATACATAATCTTATCTCTTATTTACAGTCATGGCGTTGCGTT